TTATGCATTTGGGCGGCGAGAACCGTCTTCCAATGAGCTTTCTCTTCGTCTCCTAGTTGGATCAGAAAAGGTAATCAATGAAACAGGACATCGGATAGTAGGTAAATTAAAGTCAAAAGAGAGAAATCACGGGGTCAGTAACAAGTTGGGTAATAGATCGTGTAAGTTCATCAAAATATAGAAGGTTGAATACATCCGACTTGTATTAAAATATATTTGGGAGATATATCCTTGTTATCAGTGCCACAGGTACATGGACTTGTGAGTACCGTCAAGATAAAGCAGGATTGTGGTCTCTAACTTTGAGGTTCGCGTTCCAACATTACCACAGTTCACCCAAATGGTTTCGGAAAGCATCAAGAAAAGCGCATCTAATCTAGTGGTGCAGAGTTTCACGATGCAGCGGATGGTACCAGATAACATCCATCAATTCAACATCTAGTCCCTAGACAAACGAGATTCACTGACACTAGCAAGGTTGATGGACATGTAAAATCCGGATTTCTCATTACCACAATGGAGAACAGTTCAGTTAAATCAAAACAACTGCCGTCCAACTTTGAATCACAGCCAACGTAACGTGGCCTTCTCTCGTTCGCCGCTTTCACTACCGCGCAGAAGATTTCTGGTTTTAATGAGTGAACAGTTCACTAACAGCCCAAAACAATTAGTGTTGCGATGATAAGAGACCCAAATTCTATAATAAAAAGAATTATATTGCCTTCCCATTCATAGTAAACGGATGATTGTCACGGACTCTTGCAGTAAAGGTCGTTTTGATATTGGACGTGTTCCTTTACAAAGCATTCACTTTCAGTTTCAGTTTGCACAGCCATTAACCACGCATATTCGTGCGCCGGTTTGGGTTGCTGTCTTTTTCTGCCCATTTGGAAGAAGAATAGGAGAAGAAAGGAAACTTGAAAGTGGAGTCGAACAGAAAGTGGAGAAGTTCAGTGGTCCAAGGTTGCAAAGAGATTGAGAGGATGCACGAACGCCACTGGTTGCGACACCCAGCCATATCACTTAGTGTCTCTAACCATCGGTTACGATCATCCCGAGGTCTCCAGCCAGGGAGCCTAACAGGACCTGCGACCCAGTATCCTGGTTAGGGTTTTCATACCCTCGTGGCAGGTCTTAGCTTGACCACCCTTGGCATTTACCACTCGGTGTCTGCTTCGTAGAACATCGCTCGCCGTGGCAACCTATCTGGTGACATGCGTAACACATGCCTCAACCAACGTAATCTAGTGGGCGACCGCGGATACCCAAAACTTTACGCCTAACCTCAGTATTGCTCATCGGGTAACCCCACCAGATTCGTGAAATGCTGCGTAAACAGCGGTATTCAAACAGCGACAGTCTATCCTGTTTTCTTGATGGCCAAGTTTCTGCGCTGTATTACAGAACTGTCGCAGCAAACACTCGATCCTTCACAGAAAGCCGGATGTCGCGACGGTCACACAGATGTCCCAAGTGGGCAAATGCCAACTGATTCTTCTGTATGCGAGCTGACAATTCATCCGTGATGCGTCCATCGGGTGAGATGTCGCTGCCCAAATAACAAAACTTATCCACCTGCTCTATTACTTCCCCAATTAGCATGAAAATGGGTGCTGGACCAACCCAGTCTTGTAGTAACATCTTACACTTTGAAGGTGAAAAACGCATACGAAATATGGCTTAATTAGCAATCAAACTATCTAGAAAAGCTTGTAACCTACCTGTATCTTCACTTAGCAGCACAATGTCGTCTGCGTACTCTAGAGCAGACAGTCTGCCTCCTGGGAGTAAATCGATACCGCTATCTTCGCACGAGGATAGGGCTGTTTCAACAATCAAATTCATAACAAAGTTAAACAGAAATAGAGAGAGAGGGCAACCCTGTCGAACACCACTTTCCGTGGTGAACTCGGGTGAAAATGTGCCGTAAGCTCCGACTCCGCTTCGGCTATGAGTATAAGGGGATGGTATTATTGATGTAAACTTCTCTGGTACACCTTTCAAATAAAAACAGCGCCAGGGTTTACAGCGATTGACTGAGTCGAATGCTGCCTTCAGATCCAAAAAGATAAAGATGATGGGTCTAACAAAAGAATATGGGTTCTGAGAGTTTGGCGATGTGTGAAGATGTGGTCGATACAATCTCTACCAGGTCTAAAATCAGCCTGGTTCTCACGCGTGCACTCTTCTCGTGCGGCAGACAATCGACGGAGTATGGTACCAGCGAGAAGTTCAGAAGGAATGTCGATGAAACTAATTCCTCTGTCATCTGTCACACTGCTTGTAAATTGGTATGATGGCCGATTCACACCATTCAGCTGGATCTTGTTGCCTCTTCCATACTGAGCCCAGGAGTTTCGTTAACTCCGAAGCCAAGGCTAAACCTTCATCCTTATAATCGGATGGGGAGAGCCCGTCTGGGCCGGGGGCCTTATGCATTTTGAGATAGCTTATTTTTCGGGAAATCTTCATTTCAGATGGTGGACTGGCATC